ATCAAAAGGTAAACGACCATCGAACATGTCAAAAAAGAACTGAACTAGATCTACGAGGTAGGGCCTTATCATCAAAAGAAAGCCATTATCGATACCGACCTTTCGCGCGACACGTCTATATATCTCGGAAACGAAAGAAAGATGTTCGTCTGCAAAAGAGGTGCGTTGATCGACCAGACCTACAGCACGCGAAGTTCTACTCAACTGAGGGAAGAGTCGCGACGACCAAGATTGACCTTTACTGAAGAACTGAACATACAGAGCACACCACCGAGAGTCTGTCTTTTATGCGGAAGGAACTGAGCAGGGACCGTAGTGATCACTGACAATCCTATCATTCAGATCCGAAGGCAGCGACGACGGTAAAATCGCCTAGAACCAAAGGAAGCATGAAAATCAGAACTGAATATGACACGCGCACACCTCGGATTACGAACATTTGAAACAAGAGTAAAAATGAAGTTGATGAATCGCAACTGATGTAAAAACACTTTCCATTATTTCAGTCGATGGTCAACCAAACGTCTAGCAATTACTTCAGAATACTCAGTGTTCGGAATGCACAAACAACAGACGCTGTGGTGACGCAAACAGCGTCTACAGTTAGCAATATGATCAAAATGTGGTGTGACGATGGACAGAATAATTCACTAGCGTAAATTCCAACTGGGATTCTAGGGTAGGCTTGTGCGAAAGCCGGTTTACACAATAATATACAAGCTTCCGCTCTTCTAGGTTGCTACTAGTTTACATTAACCGAGATAGAGATAAGTACTTACTACGGAGCTAGCATTACTATTTTTACGATATGAAATATCATAGAAAGGGCAAAAAGGATCGTACAAGCACCCAAGCAATGAATGTGAACCGATTTTAAATACAACATGCTGCTAAATCTATAATTAATTATGTAAGTTACAAAGTGATTTTCAGGGCACAATAAAGATGTAAACTAACATTCGAAAATTTTAGGTTTGCTAAGATGTAAGTATGAATCTCTTGGCAAGGCCATATGGCAGTACCAACGTCATAATGAAAGTGCGATGGACATCAACGGTAACAAACCTATCCTCTATCGTAACGAGGTAGCATTGCGAACAAACAGCAAGCGATAAATAGCATCAAACAGAAATATGCACAGGACTATGAATTATTTTCATAATTAAGGATGTCAACTTTTTACTGCTGAACGAATGACTACTACTTTCTTCTAAGAGAATTTGCGTATTTCTTTGTAAGTTTACCGATATCAACACGATTAACTGAAGGCAAGTAAAATATAATTTATGGAAATAATGCAATATGGCTAGTGTTGGATATGATGGATAAGAAAACTTCAAGGTGAGTCTGGGAACAAAGACTGACATATCTGTTTAACATATACACACAGATAATCTTTTGACCTCGCATTAATACGCATTGCTATGACCGTGTTTAGTCTGTGACTACCAAATACGAACGAATTACTTCAGGGTTCTTTTTCTATAAAGGTTGATATTCAACATCGGACTTTCAGAGCTAAGCTACTGAAATTCTTCTCACAAAACAAATCAGAGGAAATCATCAGAAAACGTAAAAAGTTGAATTCGTTGGGCAGATTAACTTTCTTAACTTTTCATATCAAATGTTGCCCACCAGAACTTATATCAATACAAAAGCGTTAATACCTGAAAAACGTAGCATATTGAACACACAATGTCTGACAATAGATCCCTTAGGATGAAATAAAAAATACACAGAACGTTCGGGATACGTTAACAAATCTGATCATAAACGGATATATGAAAAGTCTGATTTTGAAA